AAAGCTGTTCACTCTATGGTCTAACGCTGTCCACCAGGCACCCAGCACAGTCACACTCCATTATGTTGTAGTGTCGTATATACTACCGATTAGCGTTTGGTGCAAAGGGTAGGAATGAACCAAATAGGATAATAGATCCGGCTGTCTTTAAAACAGGGAACGGGGAACGGGGAACGGGAAGTTGGTAAAATTTCTACGAGGTAAAATATATTTCTCTCAATATTGTAAATAGAATTTATTAATGAAATAGTCAGTTGAAATATTGTATTTGATGAGTTTTAGGGCCCGTTTGCACTAGGCTAAATTTATGTTTGCTTTGCAAAAATATCTGTCAACATCAGCCGTTTCCTGGTGCGAACGCAAATTTTTTTATCTTACCAAAAGGTGTCTCGCTTTACCAAACTTCAAAGACGCCGTCGGCCTGCTTCGAAGCAGGACAAAATTTTGTCAAACATCAAAACTTTCTTGATTCTTAACAGAATCATATGCATTTGGCACGGAATAAATTCAGGTCATTAGTTGTTACGGTATCAACATGAATCCAGAGTTGAGGCCACATTTTGGTCAAGAAAATAACTAATCACATTTGTAAATCTCAACTAGTCCGCCGAGGGAGAGAGAGAGTCACTCGAGGCTCGAGRGTTGTTCTTTGAGATATTTTTTTACGCAAAGACCCTATGTTTGGTATCTCTGTTATTTGTTATTTAAAATACCGAAATGATACTCAAACCGTTTCGTCTTTTTTTGTTTTTTGTTTTTTTTTTTGTTTTGTTAGGTTCAGCGACTCCATAGATATGCTGGGCTGAAATAAGTACGTTTGCCGGACTTTAATATAAAAATAAATAAAAATAAAAAGATTTTTTAGAATATTGTAACAAGAAATATATTTTACTGCGTAGAGATTTTACCAATTCCCCGTTTCCCGTTCCCCGTTTCCCGTTCCCCGTTTCCCGTTCCCCGTTTCCCGTTTCCCGTTCCCCGTTTCCCGTTCCCCGTTCCTCGTTTCCCGTTTCCCGTTCCCCGTTCCCCGTTCCCCGTTCTAATGGCAAGCCATACCATTCAAAAGTGTATTGAGTTTGCGATTGGTGATTGAAATTGCAACTGGCTATCGAGAAATCAATCGCTATGAACCAGAAATTGCAATTACTGAACGAGAATAACGATCGATGATTGAAAATTCACGATCGATGATTGAAAATTGCGACTGATGAACGAGAATCACGATCCAGATCGATTGAAATCCAAGTCACGTGATCGTACCTAGGAGATCTGGGGACGAGAATAATTTTCCCGCCAGATTTCACTGCGCATGCGCCGTATGGAAGGTATGAGTAAGATCTGGGCACGARAAGAGGAAGAAAACAAACATGGCGTCCAGAATGTCCAGTGCTGGTTTCCAAGAAGAATTAGAGGAATTCTTTTATTCTTTGATTCGCTGCATTGAAAAGGTCCAGGAATGTCTTAGTAACCGAGGCAGCATCCCAATTGAATACATAGAGCATAATTTAGAGGGGCATTTCCAGATCGTCTCGGCCATTTTTGTTACTTTACGCGAAAACAATGTGGACCAAGAAAACGACCTTTTTATGTTATTTCAAAACCTTCTTGGGGTGCTTGAGGAGCTCATAAGAGAAATAGACAAAGAGAAAGAGCAGAGGCAGCATCGTGAAAGAAAGGGAACATGTATGGTACCCAATACATTGAGAAGTAGTGGTGGAAGACCTATGTACGACATCAGTAAGGAGATGATTGAAAACTTGAGAGAAACTGGAATGAACGGGAAAGAAATATCTGTGTGTCTTGGTATAAGCGAGAGCACTCTTTATCTTCGAAGACAATGTTATGGACTGCAAGAAAGCTATGTAGATATTTCTGATGAAGAGCTAATGTCAACAGTAACAGACATACTTCAGCAGACTCCTTATGCTGGAGAATCGTATATTATTGGCGCTCTTCGAGCTAAAGGTGTTTTCGTTCAAAGATGCAGAATTAGAGCTATATTGCAACATGCTGATCCTATTGGTAGAGCATTGAGAAGAAGTACTGCAATCCAGAGGAGACGTTACAATGTTAGAGCCCCTAATCACTTGTGGCACATTGATGGTAATCATAAGATCATTGCTTGGAGATTTGTTATCCATGGTTGCATAGATGGTTATAGTAGAGCAGTTATCTATCTAAATTGTGCTACCAACAATTTGGCATCTACAGTACTCAATTTCTTTGTTCAGGGTGTAAGAGATTTTGGACTGCCTCTTCGAGTTAGAGGGGATCATGGAATGGAGAATGTAGATGTTGCACAGTACATGGTTCATAGCAGGGGTGAAAATAGAGGAAGTTTTATTGCAGGAAGGAGTGTGCATAATGTTCGRATAGAAAGACTTTGGAGAGAAGTGAACAGAGTGGTAACAAGGTATTATAAAGACCTATTTTTTTTCCTTGAAGAGTCAAACCTGCTAGATTCCAACAATGAGCAAGATCTTTTTGCCCTGCATTACATCTATCTTCCTAGAATACAATCTTCATTGCACCAATTTGTGGGTCAGTGGAACTACCATGGATTACGCACTGAAAACTTCCAGTCACCAATGGCATTGTGGCAGACAGGTATGATGAGTAACCCTGAATGTTTCGAAGAATGTACACCTGAGTTGTATGAAATCGATTTTGATTCAGGAGTATCTGGGATGAACATTGATGACGGTGTTGTAGTTCCTGAGAATCTAATAGAACTCACAGCTCAAGAAATGGCCTTATTGCAAAACCTGGTTCCAGACCCTTTGATGGACGATGGCAATTCAGGAATAGACCTGTATAGCAAAGTTTGTGAGTTTCTCAAAACAATATATAATTAATGAAAGAAAATATCATATAATGATATCACCTTGTTTTATTTAACAACAAGTTAATTGTATTTGTTAACAAATGAATGCAACAATTAGAGGTGCAATCAATAAAGCACAAGCAGTGTTAAAATTCTGCTCAGGTTTTACATCCTGTCAATACCTATAATAATTCATGTTGATGTTTACCAAACTGAAAGTCATATACTCATATAACTCTTCTAACAATAACTGTACCAAAAATACAGTATTTTACAGGCAGTGTTAAATCCTGCTTAGGTTTCACATTATTACTATCAACATCTATAATTCATGTTATGTATACCAAATTGGAACAGAAAGTCATAAAACTTTTTAAAATATTGAAAGCAACAATAGGTACTAAAATAGCAGTACATTGTTATAATTGCTTGATGCACATACTCAGTTACCTATGATTCTGGTTATGTTTATACTGTTCTAAAATTTCATAATCTTTTCAAAGACACTTGCATAGTGAGCTACAATCTGTAACCAGTCCACTTAAAAAGATTATAAAATGTATCACAAAAGTTCCATGCAGTGAGCGCAACACTGACAAGGATTTGCCTCATTCTAGATATCTTACAACCATTATTGTTGGCCGTCAATCGAAGAACTAAGATTAAAAAAAACTTTTGAGGGGATTTTATACTGAAAAATAAATATTTCAGAGGATAAGAGGGAAAAAATCTTAACAATTTGTACTTAGTCTTAAATCTCCTTGAAGATAGAATTTTTTCAATTTTTATTTTTTGATTGATGACCATTGAAATGCTAGTCAGCAAACAAGACATCCAACATTAAGAGTCAGACATCAACAATAATGGTTGCAATAAGCTGAAACCCTTTACTTGTTAGTTAAATATTGATAATATTAAATAAGTATAACTCAACAGCCAATTAATTTTAAATGCAACATAATTAATGGAGTCGCATGGCCAACTGAAAGGAACCCAACAATTGTTGTATAAAGAATTACCAAAAATCCATAGCATGCAGTGCTTTGCAAATGAAAAGCAAAAAAAGTTAAAAAAATTGGCAATATGGAGGGGTGGTCAGCATTTTTTACTGGCTCAAAGTGAAAATCCACCTTCCACCTTACAGATAAAACAATTTACAGTCCCTAAAAGGAAATACCACCTTGTTAACTTATGAAATGGTATTTTTCATGGATTCTTTGATAACAAAGCTGGTACCTGTATTTCATTAGGAAATGAAAACATAAAGTTTTTTCAAACTTAACAAAACCTAATGGCAGAGTCTACATRATGTCCATCTCCCAGTTGTTGCGATTGAGGATGTTAGTAAATTCCTCTCTGAGTTCCACAAAGTTATTGTATGTAGATGGAATCTCTAGTAATGGAGAACATGTATGTGCCACTGGTGTGGAACTAAAACCCTCAGTCCTGACAAATGCTATCTGTAGCTTTTGTCCCCCCATTACATCCATTGCTGTGGTGAATCTCAGGAACTGTACCAACTTAGTTGTGTCAAGACCTCTGATAAACTGCTGTAAAAACTTAAACACTTCTCTCTCTGTGTCAGTGGTTGGACTGCATAACAGACTGTCAAGGATTTTCTTGGGTGTGGGCTTAAGTGTTTCATATTGTTCCAAAACTGCTTCAATTGATTGAAACTGCTTATACGGCTTCAATCCTTGCTGCAGAATTGGCTGCCATGCTGCAACCATGAGGTGGGGCTTTTGAACAAGCTCTTGCTTTGCAATTTCTAGTAAAACTCTGATGACATTTTCTTTTTTTACATGGGACCTGCAATTAAACCTTTCAAGGAAATCTTGAAATTCTTCCTCTTCACCTGGGAGGTCATTATTCCTGAGGACACTTTCAACCAGATCCTCTTCTAGTTGTGATAAATAGCGCTTAAAGGAGCAAATAAATAAATTATCAGTAACCTCTTTACCAAATAGGCAAAAGCAAAAAAATGCCTTGGAAAAAAATGTAGGAAAATAGGAAACAGAGGCATACCCTTTAACTAAAATGCGACCTATTGCCTCCCATTCTTCAATGAAGTGGTCATGCCTGATGAATGGTACCCTTTCCCGTTCACCTATTGTCATACTAATGGAAAATTCATTCCAGAATAGTGTGTAAACTTCACGAGCAATACCAACACCAATCCCTGCTTCAAGATCACCCCTTTCATTAATAATTTTAAATCCTATCTGTCTATTCAAAATGCCTGGATCTTTGAATCCCTTGATTAGATCTGCTTTTATGCTAATACGATGGACTTTCAGGACTTCTGGTGTTGGTTCCAGCACTTCTGGTGGATCACTCAGGATTTCATATCTAGGGTGATTTGAATGCTCGTGGACAGCTGAATCATCCTCAACATCCATTAGACGTGCAAGGCGAAAATTCCTCAGTTGCACAACATCGGGCTCAGCATAGTGTTCCTCTTCTGGCTCTGAGGGAGGGGATGCATCTTTAGCTAATGATGCTTCCAACTCTTCATTCTGTATACAACGTATGCATTGTTCTCCAAGAGGAAATGTACAGCTACATTTCTCACAAATCACTCTGGGCATAGACCAGCTGCTGTGGGTATTGCTAATGTTGGCCTCTGTAAAAAGGAGAGCAAACAGAATACCAAAATTAGGGAATACAGAAAGCCATAGGAATAGAATAATAAAATACAAAATGGATCTAACCATTCATGAATTGTGATACTTTTATTTATTTTTTACATTGATACCAGTTAAATTCTTTTTATATATAGTATATGTACAAATTAGCAGAAACCTTGTAATTTAGAATAAATAAAGTAGTTATTTGAAATCTTATAACAAATATACTAATTGGAAAAGATGGAATATCTATTAATCCACCCTCATATTTTGGTTTTCATGATAGCCTTTTTTTATCTTAAAATATAGATATCCCATTTTTAAAGATGCATTCTAACTAACTAAAACAAATGTGTGAAAAAGAAGGTAACAAACCTTCATAACCTTCCTGGCTGGTTGATGGTAAGGACAGTAAGGATGGATGAGGTACTGATTGGTTACTTGGACTTTGAGTGGGCTGCTCATTGCTTGTGCTGCTAGAGGATGGTGGTTCCACTATACTGATAGAAGATGTACTTATAGAAGATGTTAGCACAGTGGGTTGAGGTGCAGATAGACCATTGGTACTTTGGGCTGCCTCAGTTATAGACTGTTGAACACTTACGCTATCAGCAAACTCAATCATTTGCTGCAACTCGCCATCATCAAGATGATCATCTTCTATATCTATCTAAATATATCAATATGTTCAAAAATTGTCCGTTACATAATTGCATTGCAAGGTCGGAGACGGCCCCGGGGGGGTACTTTCCTATATTTGCTATACGGGTATGTGCCGCCCTATAGGGTATGGTTTTTCTACTTTTGGGTCTGGGTAGGGTATCATTTTTTGACATTTTGTCTGGGATAGGGTGTCATTTTATTCTGGGATAGGGTTAACGATTTGGTCGTTTT